CCTGGCAGGGGCGACTCGGCCACCAGCTACAGCTCTGGGGCTTTTCATAGGACACTTTTTTTGATGTCAAGAATGCCGATTTTTTTTCCCCTTCTTAATTCCAACCATTGTTTCTGAGAGAAATTCGATTAAAAATGCGACAGAAGACAGCCCCCGCCCCGAGAACAGGACTCAGCTTGAGCCTGTTTCTAATTTTAAGCCAAACGTAGAAATACTGGCTTTGCACCCAGCAGCCAGGGATGGCAGAGAGGTGATGGAGGATCCCCTTTGGTGAGGACTTCCCGTCTCCAAGAGGCTCGCTCTTGTTAAGGCGACAGGTTCCATCCTGCCCGGCGCAGGGAGGATGCTCCTCCATCCCGGAGGATGTCCAGCCTTAGCTTCACCTGCGGAAGACGTGACCCACGTAGGGCTGTCGGTGTCAGAGCAGGTTCAGCACCCCGGCCCCATGCGTCTGAGCTGCCGGTACTGGGCTGGGCTTAAAACCTCCTATTTTGGTCCCCCATTTCCCCCCGCTCCCCGGCGGGCGGCAGGACCAGCCAAGTTAGGCAAAGCCAGCCTGGAAACCCGATTGCTCTCTGAAAGCCCTTCTCAGCGCTGGCTGCCCGTGCTCGTTTCCCCGACAGCTGTATTTTTTTGTGTTGACAGATTCATGGCTGTTTTTCTTGGGTGTAACAAGCATCAGAAATATATCGTCTGGCTTCTTTCCTTTTTTCTTTTTTTTTTAAACACAAACCCAAAGCAATCTCTGGAGGGTTCACCTTTGGGAAGAGTTGCTGAAAGCACCACTATTTTTAGTCTTTGTCTGTCTTGCTTTCTCTGGTGCTTTTCTGGATGCGGTCACAGCACCAGCCCTTTGGATGTGAGAAGGTCAGGTTCAGGTGCAGCCAGGCATTGTAAAGTGTCCCTGATAAATCCCCTTTTGCACAGCGAATCCACCATCCTGCCTCTGCCCCAACTCCTCTACCCAAATATGAAGCCAGGTCCTGACACGCTGCAGCATCCCCCCGGGAGGGAGGCGAGGTGTTGGCCGGACACAGCGGGGAAAGAATTAAGCCCCAGACCATGTCCGCTGGAGCTGGTGCCCAAATTCCTCCTGGCAGCTTTTTTTGCTCTTAAATCAGAGGAAAATATTGTCTAAGTTTGGAAAAGCCCAGCCCAGGAGGGGCGGAAGGCGCAGTGCCAAGGGAGTCCAGGTCTCCCTCCACACGGGCAGGAGGGACCAGCAGCGTCGTGCCAGGCAGGCGGCTGAGCTCAGGTCCTGGAGCTCTGCCTGAAGGGCTTCTCCCCCAGGAGCTTCGCATCTGACTCAAACTCGGGCTCAGGCTGAGTCCCTGCTGGGTCGGTCTGGCGGGACCACCCCCAGGTCCCACCAGAGCCCTTCACCATCACAAGGGTCTCTCCCTCCACCTCCCCTTGCTGGCCCGCGTGGATGGAGGTCACCTCCAGGGCTTGGATGCGTCCTTGATGAAGGGAGCCCGAGCTCCTGGACTAAAGCCCCCATTTCCCACCTGCTGAAGGTCAGGGGTGCTCAGATAAGGGGCTTTAATCCAAACCCTTCTCCAGTAAATAGCAAACCCACCTAGTCAGCGTGCGTGGATGCAAGGGACCTGCAGCTCATGCTGGGCACATCGTGCCTGCTTGGCGTCTCTGCTCCACCCTGGCTCCTTGCTCTTCCTTGTTGGTCTCTAGCTTTGGAGCCCGGTTACCTTAATCTGAGACTTAAGATGCTCAGAGCTGCATTAGCACCAGCCCATCTCTGGGTTAAATCCATCCTGTATCCAGGGCCAGGTGCAGAAAGAGAGGATGAGGTGGACTCTCAGGTGTCTCCTGATGGTCCCTGACTTCTGGCAAAGAACCAGAGACCACCGGGCACATCTGCTGGCAAGCAGGACACATGTGTGTGTGTGCACATCTGGGTTGTGTTGGTCTCTGCTGCAACAGGGTCATTTTGCCTCTTTGCCTTCGCTCCAGGGCTGCCCGGGGAGAGAGGACCACCAGGACCACGTGGCTTGAAAGGAGACCAAGGAGACCTTGGCCCCCCAGGTCCAGTGGGGCTGCGGGGATTCAAAGGTAAGGACCGGCTTCTGTGCATGCTCCCGGGTGGGTCATGGCATCTGGCTGGGCTTGCTGGGCAGCAAACTGGCTCTGGAGACCGTTGGGATGAGGGGCAGAGACACTGGTCATGGGTGTGAGAGTGGTGGGTCCCCTGGCTTGGGACCCACCTGGAGCTCCTGGGGGGGAGAGGAAATCGTGCTGAGCTGGGAGCGTGCACGTGAACAACCTCTGCAGCGAGACCTCTCCACCAAGGCACAGCAGCGGAGGGAGTCGGGCTCGGAGGGAGAGGGGCAAGACGGTTGGGTTTGTGATGCTCCTGCCATGCAGTGGGGTTCAGTGCAGGCAGGCAGGCAGGGCTGCCTGCACCGAGCACTCACCAGAGCCCCGTGAGGACCTGCCGGGCTGCCCTCCCACGCGGGCTCGGGCAGGGTTTTAGGAATAGCCCTGTGTTTGTTTTCTGGTGACCTTTCCTGGCTCGCTGCGGTTTTGCAGCTCCTCACCACACCCCGGAGCTGTGGGTGTAGGCAGTGGCCGCGCACCTCTTTAGCGGGACAGATCTGTCCCAGGAGACCTTTTAAAGAAGTTCCGTGCTGCAACCTCAGACAGGATGGATAATCCCAAAACATGCTCTTTCTGCCTCAAAATGCCTTGTGGGCAGCGGGAGGCAGGAAGAGCCTGGCCCAAGGAAGGGACACCGCCCTGGGCAGAGCTGCCCTGCCTGCAGCCTGCCCTGGTCACCGGTGGCCAAAGTGGTGTATTGCCCTCATCTCGTGCTCGTGGCTGACGGTGACCCGGGACGCGGCCACACTGGCCCCCAGGAGCTGGGGCCACGCGGCCGCCAGGGGCTGGGGCCGTGGCCACAGACCAGTGTCCAGGTCTGGGAAATGCCTGGAGCGCTGCCTCACGGGGGGTGCTGCTGTCCCTGCTTCCAGAGGCCCCGTGCGTTATTCGTCTTGGAAGCTCTCGCTTTCGTGCAGCAAGCTCCTTGGGTGAAATGAGGGTGTGAAGGCTGAAGGAAAACGTCCTCTTTAAATGTCCTCTCTCTCCTGTCTTTGCCCACTTGGCACCGATCCAGGTCTGGGAAATGCCTGGAGCGCTGCCTCACGGGGGGTGCTGCTGTCCCTGCTTCCAGAGGCCCCGTGCGTTATTCGTCTTGGAAGCTCTCGCTTTCGTGCAGCAAGCTCCTTGGGTGAAATGAGGGTGTGAAGGCTGAAGGAAAACGTCCTCTTTAAATGTCCTCTCTCTCCTGTCTTTGCCCACTTGGCACCGAGCTGGTGAGCTGGCCAGAATTGGTGTCCAGTTTTTCTGTATGTCCTCCAAAGTGCTGGTCATGGCCAGGGGCAGGAGGTGGGGTGAGAGCTCCGTGTCGTGTCTGGTTGCCCATCCTTCATGGGTGGTAGCCACAGCGGTGGCCATCTTCTGTACCTTGCATGCCACCAGAAAGCCCCTTGTAGCGTAGGGGCAGGAGCACATCTTCCATCGCTTCTGTACTTGGCGGTGTCTGTAGGAGAAGGACCTTTCCTAAGGACGTGCCATCCGCCTCCCAGGGCCAGTGCCTCCTGGTGCAGCCTCAGGAAGCTCTAGGTCCAGGTAGAAAGGAGATGCAGGAGATGAGATGCTGCCGGTGGCCTCCTTCTGTAGCGAGGGGAGCGGTGTCAAGCTCCCAGAGCTGCAGCCCAAGGCAAAAGGTCTTCTGAAGGATTAGCACCCGTCTGGTCCTCTTTCCTGTGATCACCTGCCCTACTGACACGATGGCTCTGTTCATCTCACCTCTCTCCCACTCGCCCCAGTCCGGGCACAGGCTGACCTCCTGGGGCCCGTTAGCTGCTGGAGGTGGCTCTCCAGGCCATGTGGCTGGTTAGATGACATTTATGCAGTGCTGTGTAGTCTTGAAGAACGCTGCTGGGTGCTATTTCCATCACCCCATCCCATCTAACTGGAAGCCTAGGGTTTCTGGGCTGATGTGGTGGGGACAAGTCTCCATCTTCCCACCCAGGCAGAGGCTGCCAGCGGGGCACAGAGCCCTACAGGAGCCCTGCGTGCTGCAAGAATAAAGAAACCAGCATTTCGTGCTTGTTCTCCAGCGCTGTCTCTTGGGTTTTTTGGAGATAGCTCTGGCCTGCAGAATCGCAATATCGTGTTGTGGGGGTGCAGAACTTCATCCGAGCTGTGGGGTGAAAACGCCTGCTTTGATGCTGCAGGAGGTCAGACTAACGCCTGGATACGTCCCTGGCACAAGCCTTGCAAAGGCGTGAGGGCTGCAGGGACGGGTGCTCATGCAGGGGAGACATCGGTGCCGAGATGTTCCTGGCAGCGCATCAAACGCCGAGGTCCGCCAACCAAAACCACAACATGCTCCGGGGCCGCGGTTTCCTCTCCTTCCACGGAGCAGAGGAAAGTGGGCTTTTCTCACTGGCCGGTGCCAAGTACTCATTAGACGAGCAAATTATCCCAAGGAGCATGAGCAAGTTGAATTGGGCTTCAGTAGAAGACCGAGCCCTGATGCCAGATTTGTTCTGCAAAACACATCCCCAGGGGACATGTCCCTTCTGGAGGGAGGAGGTTGATGGGCTGCCCTAAGACAGAGACGTTAATAGCTGCTGTGCGGGGTCAGTGCTGAGATGCCCCCCATGGTGGGCATCACAGCTCCAGCAAGAAGCAATCTGGACACACAATACTGAGGATGAAGACTTCCTCCAGTGCTCCCCAGCCCAGGAGGTGGTGGAGACCAGCCCCAGCACAGCCCCTGCCTCCAGGGGAGAGCTATGGCCACACTGCAGTAGTACAGCATCAACCCCAACCAGCTTGGTGACCCTTCCCCAAAGCCAGTCTGCATCTCAAGCAACTTTGGCCAGGGAGGTAAAGCACTTCTGCTCTTGGTTTTGGGAGGCGATAGGTTGGACAGCATGGCAAAGGGTCAGTGGGTCTTTGCCATGTGGTGCTTTGCTTCTAGCTGTCATCCTTTCACTGGCATAGAATAATCCCCGTACCTGAGGAGGCCTCTTGGCGTGAAGAAGGTTTAGCTGTGTCCAGGGCTCCACCAGCTATAGCCCAGATGCACCCCGTTCCTCGTGCGTTTCTTGGATATGTCATTGGTTTGGGATGAGGATGACTCCACAGTGGCAAAGCCACCAGGTGTTCCCCCCCGTGGGATGGGCCACCCCCAGGTCCCCCCGGAGCCCAGCACCAGCACAGGGATCCATCCCTCCACCTCCCCTTGTTGGCCCATGAGGCTGGAGGTCACCTTCAGGGCTTGGATGTGTCCCCTACAAAGGGACCCCAAAGTACAGGCCCTGTTAGCCACAGGTGCTCAGATAAGGGGGTTTCATCCAAACCCTTCTCCAATAAATAGCAAACCCCGCTGGCAGCAAGCTCTACATTTCTAGGGTTTATGGGATTCTCTGAAATTTATAGGAAACAGACACCGAGCCAGGCAACGGTCCAAGCCCGGGCTTTAAGTAAAGGCCTGTTTTCCTGCAGCACTAGTCTTACACTTCTGTAATGACTTTCTTCTGAGCACAGGAGAGCCATCGGCTCCCTGGGAAATGCAGCCTGTCCTGGTGGGGGGACATCTGGGGTGGATGAGCCTCCTCACCAAAAATCCCGGGTCAGACCATCTCGCAGAGATGACCTGACCTGTCAAGGGATGGCTGCTCTCCGCAGCGGAGTCCCAAGTATTTTCCCTTGTTGGTATTTTCCTATCCTTGATGTATTTTCCCTCAAAATTACCCCAGCAGAGTATTATTTTCCTCATTTCCAAATGGGGAAAGTTATTCTGGAAAGTGAATGTACATAAGTCTTCTTCACTTCATGGGGAACATCGTGCAGGGAACACGTTCAGGAGGAAACGGCAGTGAATGAGCCAAAGTAGGGACCACTAATTTATAGATAAATTCGGGACAGTAAGAGAAGTCCCCTTCCTAAACACCACGTGCAGGCAAAGAGGAGGGTTTTGGCATGTTCCTGAAGGCAGAGCAGGTTTCTGCCTGGGAAGGCAGGGTTTTGCAGCTTCTCCTGGGGTTTTCTCTGAGACCGTGGTGGTCTACCTCACCCTGAAGACCCAGGAGCTCTTTGCACCCTCCCCCAGTGATGTCCTCTCCTATGAGCTTTGCAGGATTTGTGCCCAGTCTCTCTCAGTAGCACTGATTTTTGGAGCAGAGGTGATGCCCAGAAGCAGGACATTGGTGGGGACCAAGCTTCTGCCGTGGGAAGAGCTGAGGGTCGTTGCACCTGTGCCAAAATTGTGTGCACAGTCCAGAAAAAAAGGGCTGCATTGACTCACTCGCAGTAGGAAACGGCCGAACAAGACCTTGACACTTGCTGGGTGTAGGCACCAGGCAGGACCTCCTGGTAGGACCAGCAGTGATGCCAGCAAGGGGCTCTCCTGAACTTGTGGGCTCTGTCCCAGTCCTGAGGCTCTCTCCTTCCCACCTCAACGGGGGCTTTGCCCCCAGCTAGGGATGCTCTCCAGCCCTGACACCTCGGGGAGCTGGGCTTGACCCCAGGGTGAAGTCAGCAAGCTGTGCCACCGAAGGGACCGTCCTCTCTGCTCACGGGAGAGCTTCTGTGGAGAAAAGAGGGATGAGAAGGCAGGAAAAAGAGAAAATAAGAAGCAACGCCTTCCAGGAGAGCAAGAAAATGAAGAAGCTTGGAGGAATGCATGGGAAAAGCCAAGGTGGATGGGGAAGGATAAGGCAGAGGGGATGGGACGTGTTTTCAAGCACCTTTGTGAATCTGTTGGCATCACCCATAAAATGCTTCTTTCTTCTAAAGGGTCTTTCCTTCATCAGATGCATACAAAGCTAAAAAACCCCCAAAAAACAACAACAGAAAACCAACCCTAAAACCTAATGCAGTAGCACAGGTCGGGGATGGGGAGGAGAAGCACACCCAGAACGGTGCGCTTTTGGCTAGACCCACTAATCCATCCCAAGCCAGCATCGGCTCCGATGATGGGCTGTTCCCCAGCATCGTTTGGGATGGGTCCAGCCATGGAGCCCATTGCACCAGCTCCTCCTTCCCCATCCATAACTAGTTCCCGCTCCTCATGAGCCCCTGGACCCATTTTTAACAGCTCAGCATCTTTAAGCTGAGCCCATCTGCTGTTTTTTTGGAGACCCAGGTACTCTCTGTTGGCTGATGACACCTGCATCAGCGCTCCCAGGCGAGCAGCCTCCGGGCCTGAAGATGTGCTGCTGGGGATGTCGCTCTGCCCGTGCCAGGAGCTCCGGGTTCCCCGCAGCGTTCCCGGCTGCTGGAGAGGTCTCGCCACCAGCTCCGCTGCCTCCTGCCAGCTCTGCCTCTTCATAGAATCACAGACCCGCAGCGGGGTCTGGGTGGGAAGGGACCATTAAAGACCATCTAGTCCCACCCCCGCAGGGAGCAGGGACATCTTCACCCAGAGGAGTTTGCTCAGAGCCCCGTCCAGCCTGACCTGGGCTGTTTCCAGGGATGGGGCATCCACCACCTCTCTGGGCAACCTGCTCCTCTTGCAGCGGTACAGTACAGTTGCAATTCGTGCTGAATTTTTTTTGCCTTGTTCTTTTTCTTAAGGGTTTCTAACCATTTCTGATAGTTGAGGTCTCCTGCTGTTAGAGCGTTTCCTTCTTCTGCAGCATCTCTGAAGTCCCCGACTCGCCCCAGTTGCTGTCCCCTCCCTAATGAGACCAGCAACACTGCAGCAAGTTGGGTTATTTCCTCCAGGAGTTTCAGACCACCCCCTTTCTGCCCAGCACAGCTGATATATCCCTGTCCCTCGAGCTCCACCGTTCCACCTTCACCTCTCTCCGCCATCCCTGTATAGGAATGCAGCCCGGACCCCGCGGGGAAAGCACTTCTCCTCCGGAAGAGCCGGATTTTTGGGGACAAACACAAAAGACCCGTAACTTGCTCTCCGGCACCCTTTCCTCCCCGCTGGGGCAGGAAGGTGGTGGAGAGCACGGGCTGCTCCAGCGCCCCAGTACCGTCACGTGCCGGCGAGCAGCATCTCTGGCCCCTCTGCTGCTGCTCGGGGGGCTGCTGTCATCTGGTTCCCATCAGCGGGGCAGGCTGCAGGCAGCTT